CGGCCTGGCCTGAAGCAGAACCGAGAGCAGGCGGCGCCGGCCCCTTGTGTCCTTCATGGGCGGATCTCGGGGCGCGGCGGCGGACGCGGGCCCTGGGTCCTCACTGTCCTCGGGGCGGTCAGCGGTCGCCGCCGCTCGCCGAGCCTGGGCAGGTGGCGGTGGGGTCACCTTCGGGGTTCCTACAGGGAACCGGCACCGTCCCGGCTGCCCCTGGTGGGAACAGGAGAAGCCTAGCTGTGACGCGAGGGACGCTTAGGTGTGCCAAGTTGTGTAAAAGTCAAAAAAGCCACCTCACTTAGGTGAAAATAGAGCTGGAGGTGATCTGTCAACGCAGGGCTTAATATCGAGAGGCTGTGACATCCCAAGGCTTGTTTGACAGCTGACAGGGCCCTTAAGATATCCCTAGGGGTGTCATAATGGCTCATTTACATGGAAAAGACTTCTCTATACCTTATGCAAAACATTGAAATAAGATTTACTTCAGACAATTCTGTTTCTGTACCTTATATTGGAGGGGTTTTAATTATTCCCTTTTTATTGCTGCAACATGTTAAGCATGAAAGTAGGAACTTTCTTGCTGAAGAATTTAGTTTGCTGCCTGTTTTATTTGCTGTCTAAAGTTCCCGTCTTCTATTCGTGACGTAGAGCTGGCGGGTATGGCAATAAATGTGATGTAACAAACTGCAGATTATAGCTTCAGGTAGGAATAAGATGCAAGAACAGATGGACCTGCATCCTGCTTTCAATAAAATGTTCTTTTAGTAATTGAGAAAGTGAAGGAAAAAAATAATGAAAAAGAGAGGCATATTTTCTGTTAAGAAAATGTCACTGCACCTTTCACTTTTCAATAAATGAAATTTTACAGAAATGTACAAGGAGCACAAATGATTTAATTAAAATACTCTGCAAAAAAATGACTTTTGAAGGTGACAGAGGATACAAGAGATCTCTGTACAAAAAGAGGATACAAGAGATCTCTGTACAAAAAAAGATTGGTCCTGTTGGAAGAAACCCCAAAATTTCTGGAATTACAGTGAGGCAGGAGAAGGAGAGCGACTTTTTTTTTGTGAAGTGTGTGTGCATTTGGCTGCAGTCAAGAGCCCAGTTTTATTTTCTGTTGAGTTTGATCATAGATTCAAAGGAATCCTGGTCAGCCAGCTACCCATTCTGACAGGAGGAAGAGCTGGGTTGCTGCAGGCAGCTGTGACAGGCACTGATGGAATATATCTCAGCTTTTCTGCCTCACAATTACCTAGGGTTTGTAAGGAAATAAAAGGAAATAATAAAGTTTAGCTAAGGTTCATGTACAAAGGTCTCTTGTGTTATATTAGCTTGCTTTGCTGATTGTGTTCTTGTGAACTGTTTTTGAAAGACTTGACCTGTGTCACTGCATGTGTTTTTTGATTACAAGGCTTCTGAGAGAAAAGGCACAAGCAGACTGACCTTGCTAAAACTTCACAATGAGAAGTAGGCAAGTTTCTCAGTCAAGTCTGGGATAGGAGGATTGGTAGGCTCCGCCTTGATGGGGTAAGAGCCTGAACTGTGTTGAGGGTGCTCTTGAGAGCTTGCAGTGAAGTGACAATACCTTTTGATTTGTGGTAGAAGTAGAAAGAATGGTCAATCATACCTTCTATCCAATACCAGCCATAGGGAAAGAAAAATGTACCTAACTCATTATTTTTTTCATATCTGAGTCCTCTAACTGGACTAAAGAAATGGAAAATATATATATTAACATGTAATGAGTTACATGTTTATGCTATTTTACATACTGCAATCAATGAATGTAGTGATCCTAAGTGCTTAGTGTGCGAGATGTGTTCATTCCCCACCCTTGTCTCACAGAAAAATAAGTGATTGAGGAGTGTCTCACCCCAGGCCTGTATTGGGCGTGTGACAGAGCTAGGAATAGGCTGTAGATTCCTGCACAAGACTGTTCTTCCAGTACATTCCCTGTCTGACACTTGAATGCAATGGTGACAATGAGAAAACCAATCTCTCTTGGTCACTCTGATCAGTTCTCCCATCCCCTGTGGTTGTCTGGCAGACTGCTGGAGTGGCATACAACCTCCTGGGGTGCATTGCTTTTTCCCAGACCACTCTTCATCAATGTGGAACTTTAAGAACTAGCCTGGCAGAGTTTCTAACAAGCTCTGGGTGTTCTTGATGTTGCAAAAACCCTGTTTTTTTATATCTTCTGTTGTCCCCTTAAAATCTGCCTATGCTGTGATATCTTCAAAAATTTGTGTTGAAGTGCCTGTTGATAGGATCAGAATTGACTTTTGGTGATCTCAGGCTTCCTTCTGTCTGTCCACCTGTTGTATCTATCTCCTTGAAAAGCCTTTGGGATCCTGAATAAATGTTTTGTTGCACATATGCAACAGTGAGCAGTGAGTTACTTCTGGATTTGTGGCCAGTAGACACTGTTGAGTTAGGAATAGCAATGAGCAACTTGCCCTCAGTTGCTGGGTGATTGCTTGAGCTCTTGGCTGAGGGCAGTGCTAGCAATGTGTCATTAAGAAAGGAGCAATTAAAACTTGGATTGTCAGGTCCTCTGGGGCTGTAGGCATCAGATCACTAAGTCCTGATCAGATGTTACAGTTGCTGTTTTATGTCTTGGCAGGGTTCATCAGTCATGGCACTAAGGGCCTTGAAATTTGCCTCATTGACAGCAGCTGCTTCTGGCATCTATCTGTATGGAAACAAGTTCCTGGATCCTAATGATTTTGGAGTTGTTCGTGTGGGCCGAGCCATTGCCACAGTAAGTTCTATCGCAGCAGTGTGCAGGAAGATTGCTAGATGGATAAGGGAATTGAAGTTCACAAAAACTTGGGGTTTTTTCCATTCCCTGTCTGCATTTTCAGTCGGCAGCTGGCTTAGGAAGTGCGAATGTTTGTGGGGAGCTCTTCAAGTTTTTGATACACGAGGAGAAAGGAGGTGAAAGCATGTAAGGAATACAGCTGTTGTTTGCACATTTTGTAAAGAGAAAAATGAAGATACTGCGCTTCAGAGAGCTGTCTCTGTTTCCCTGGATAGGGTCGGACCTTCAGAGCAAGGTCTCACTTTGGGCCCACATTTTCATCAGCTACCCTTCAAGGTCAGTTGCCTAGGTGCAATGTCCTGCTGCCTTTTAAGAGTGACTTAGTTCAAACCCTCCTCTCTGCATATGCCATTTTCACATTCTGTTGTAAGTATCCTGGTTGCATTGATAAATTAGGGTAACCATTGCCCTGTGACCCTTGGTATGAGATTTCAGGAGAGAAGGACTGGTGTTCTGTGGATCATTCTCAAAGCAAGAGTAAAGTGAGGATGGATGATTACATACTTCTGAGATTGGAATGGTTTCCAGATGTGTAAAATGAAAGCTGTATCTGCCTGGCATCACTGATATTTCTCAGAAAACTGGGATTGGAGACTGCTGCCTTCTCCTTGACGATGTTCACTGATGAATCCATGAGCAGCCAGGAACATGGAGAGCAGAGACACTGGAGGGGGTATCAGTCTCCCTGTACCTCACTTGCATTATACATCTGTCACTTCAGGCCACAGTCTCCATCATTTATAGACCCCCAGTGGTAAGCAGCTGTCTATCTGCATTTTCTGTGACTTCTAAGCACTTTGTTAATGAGTTTTACAAGGATTCAGCTCCTGAGGGCAGATGCAATGAGAAACAAGCTCTGTGGGTTGGCTCAGGTGCCATGTGCGTGCAGCATCATAAACTGTTGGGAAGAATGAATGATTGTTTTGAAAGGGTGAAGGCAGAAATACAAACTGTAATCTTTCCTTCTTACTTAACAAGTGCTAAGCTTTGTGCTCTGTCCCTGACAGTAAGGTGGTGCTGCCTGGTGGCAAGGAGCAGCTCTTTCCCTTTTAAAGCACAGGAAATTGAGGCATGGAGAGGGAATGCAGCTTGTTGATGGAGGAAAATCTGTTATTCAGGGTGTTTGGGTTCTCCAGTGTGTCCTTGAGTTCTGCTTGCTTGGCTAGTGTTTCTCAGTCTTTCTTCAGCTACAGTTTTTGTGGTAATCAACTATTTAAGACAAAAATAAGCGAGAAGTTCCAGTGATGAGGCTGTACAGTTGGTCTGTTTTGAGTGATGGTGAGAGATTACCTTCCTGAAGAATAGGAAGTAGGGGAAAGGAAATATTCTTTGCTTTAGCTGGTGGCAAATCACAGACATGTCTGACTTTCATGTTCTCTGCCTTCAGGGAGGTCACAAGTCATTGGCTATAAAGCGCTTCACTGGTCCTGCTCTTAAATGCATTAGAGGGTTCTGCACTCATAGCTGCAAGCAGTGACCCCAAAACCAAGTTACCAGTCTTCTGTAAGGGATGGCAGCATGTGTTTAAATCTGTGTGTATACTTTTAAAAAATAATGTTCTGTCTCTTTCTGAATTCTCTGTTTCCTTTGGTATGTATGACTGCATGTATTTGAGTTGCTTCTGAGAGATTCTTTAGTCTTGCTGCACCAGTGACCTCTGCCTTCCCTGCTCATTGTTGAACAGTCAGAAGTCAGCTCTCATCTGAAGACAGGCAGCCAGAACTGCTGTCACTCTTTAGCCATGGACCAGGTGAAGCCAATAGAGCAGACCTTTACTTCTAAGAAGCTCAGCTTTGGGTTTACTCTTTTTGCAAATTTTTGCAAATGGGAGATAAATCTCTGTAGCAAACAAGTGTTATTGGATATCGGTGTCATCTACATGGACCTAAGTATCTGTCCTTCAATCTAGTCCTGCCCTGGATTTTTATCTGGATGCTTGATTCTGTCATTGAACCATAGCCAGGCAAAAGCAGACTGTAACGAAGAGTCTTCTTAACAGCTTATAAGTTCAACAGCAGCAGTCACGAAACTTTAAGACAAGTTACAGTGGGGCAAACAAAACAAGACAAAAGAGAAGCCTGAAGAAAAGGACACATGAGGATCAAGGAACTTGAAGTACAGCTGTGAGACTCTGGACAGATATAATCTGAGTTTGATAAGAGAGATTTGACTCTGGTTGTATTTTAAGCACATTGATTCAGTAGCTCTTTGCAGACTCCATAAGAAACTTGATGAAGCTCACTAGCAGAAAATTTCTTTTTAATGCTCTGTTTAGGGAACTGGCTCTTATGTATGGGTAGACAGCTATTCAGGGGGAACATTGTACCACAACTTGGTAAGATCTGAGGATAGGTTTAGGAGCAGTGGAAGAGTGTACGTGCAGTGTTGAGTTTTCATTGATACCAAGTAGGACATTTAACACTGAGCAGGATGCAAGCTCAGTGAAAGTAATCTGGCATTTGTAAAGGGATGGATTGGTTGATTTTGTTTATCTTTTTTTAACTCCGAGCTTCAGTCTTACACTGTAACATGAATGACAGCACTAGTCTTGGATGAGAACAAAATCAGTGGCGTGGGCAGCATCACGCTGCAAAGCGTTTCTGTATTCTGTATTTCTAAATTAGAAACCTGGCAGAGCCGTTGTGCATTTGCTGTATTCTTTTGAGAGTATATGAGTTGTTTTCGTTATGTGGAAGGAACATTCTGTGCAGTAGCTAGACACTGGGAGGGATTTGGCAATGTCAGAGTTGCCTATCAGGATCATCATAATATTAATTTAGTGTTTAAGATTATAGTGTAATTAGCAACCGCTTAATTAATTCCCTCTTCCTCTGTAATACAGGCCAATCTGTTAGCTGCTTTTTTTTCAGTTGGAGGTGATAATTACCCTTGTGGACCAGAGATAAAATAAGAACCAACTCAAGCCTTCATGCAAGACTGATTTGAACCTCCCTCCACTTCAAAGTTGTTCTTTGAGGTTGTGAAGATGCTTTGAAACATTTTTCTTCTGAATGGTCTCTGCAGCTGTGCAGCTCCTGAGTTGACCAGGGGCAAGAGAACCTGAAAATCCAGAAAAAAAAATTGATGTGTTCACTTTGCAATTCGGAAAAAAGGAAACATAAGAAACCTAACTTCCACAAGGAGGGAGTGTGTCTGTTTGTTACTGATTCCCATCTTGGTCCACTCTTGGATGAATTTCTGAGCTTTTGACTCTTTCCCTATTTTCAGTTTTGCTGTCTTTGTCTCAAACCAGGTTTGCTCTCCTTGCTTCCCTGGCTTTTTTGATACATTGACTGTACTTTGTGCCTTTCCTGGGCATGGTTATGGTGTATAGTGGGACTGGTATCTGGGGTGCCAGAATGGAATGCTACCCCTTCAGTAGGGGGATTTGAAGAAAACTGACTTTCAGTGGGAGTTATGCAAATGGTTCTTCATGACAAGGATCTTGAAGTTCAAATGGCACATTAGTGGACAGGCTAGTTGTATGTTCCCTTCTCTCCCTCCAAACATGACCTGTAGATTTCTCTCCCATTCACTGATGTTCTGACTGTGGAAAGAGAGGAACTTTAGTGATAGGAATTTTGAAATACCCCAGATCTATTTTCAGAAATCATTAAGGCACTTAAGAATATAATTCCATTGTCCATGGCAATGTCTAACAGGCTTGAGCTGGATCCCATATTCTGGTTTTGTAATTGGATATTTGACCCTTTGGCTCCATAGTTCTTTGTGCAGTTGAACATCCCCAAAAGTATCGCTGCTTGTGCTAATCTGAGTTTGTCTTCAATCACTCTGTTCCCTGCTGAGCCTCTACCCAGAGCAAGCTGGTTAGGCAGTTTGGAGCTATGAAGTGGGATAACTGATGGGGCACAAAAAGAGTCTGAATGGCCTCTGTTACTAGCAGCAGACCTTATTGTGGAAGCCCCAGATGGCTGACTGAAGATGGGAGTCTGCTGTGCAAGGTGCTGTACAGAGATTAGGAAAATGCTTTGAGCAACTCAAATAGCAGATAGTATAGGAGTGTCAAGTTTTGCTTATGTAAAGTGACATATCAATGAGGTCCCTGCACTTCTTTTTATAAGCGTTCATTGAAATTAAAATGTTTTCATTTAATTTATTAATGAGCCTGTTGTTCAGGCTTCACTGTGGAGCCTGAACTTTGAAGTCTAAGATACATGCATTCTCTTTAACAGAAGTCTTACTGTTTTGATAACTGTAGAGCTTGCTCAGCATTTCTGGTTTCATTTGCAGACGGCAGTTATCACCTATGACTACCTGACCTCTCTTCGGAGTGTCCCATATGGATCAGAGGAGTATGAGTTCCTCAAGTCACAGGTAGGTAATAGCTCTCAGCTGCATTCCTCAGAAACTGCAAGACACAGATGTGTTGCTGTAATTCTATCAGCTTAGTAATTCAATATGCTTTCTACCAGATTGTTAACAGCAGTATTAGATAATAGCCCCATATTAGATCAGCATCTTGCAGGACTTGTGTTGCCCAATGAAGAAGGTCCTTTGTCAAAAGTAGCCATATGCATCCATTGCTCACTTAAGTCCAGTAGAGACTCCTTGGTGTATGCATTTGGCTCTGCTGCCCAGACTGGTTGTGTGGCAGTCAGCTGCTGAGGGTGGCCTGGCAGTACTTTCTTATTCTGCATATTGTTTGGTAATGGCCATAACATAAAGGCCAACTGATTTAAGTAAAAGCAGTGTCTTGGAAAGGAAATAATAGAGATGAATCAGACTTGCAGATCTCTGAGGAAATGAGAATTGTGCAAAGAAGTGTAATCTCATTGCGAAACACACTGTTGTGTTTTGATACCAGTAATTAACAATAATAGCAAAAACGTTTCTAGTAGGAAGGAAGACAAGCACCCCTACTGCTCCTCTCAAGTCTTCTGCTCATCTTTCATTCCAGCCTACAGCCCTATAGTTCACTGAGCTGTGAATGACACACGGTTTTAATTGAGTGTTTGTGATATATGTTAGCCAGAGTTCCTCTGCTATTCCAGTTCAAGGCCTCTTTGGAGTGGGAAGTACAGCTTGTGCCAAATTAGGCCAGTCTGCATAGTGTGTTTGATTGAAGTAAGGTCTTTAGCCTCTTTTTTCTTCTTGGTGCACGTAGGATTTAGGCCACTGGTGTGGTTGGTTATAATGCATGGAGTGGTGCTCTCCAGGGATTCTCAGACTGGAATGACTATAAAGCTGGAAACAGCCTTGAGTAAGGTAGACATCAGTGACATTGGACTCCAGCATGCGTCAGTATTCCTCTGGCAGAAAATCCACATCATCAATATGGTCTTAGTGTATCTGGAATGGTTTGCAGAATGGCTTCCTTGGGCTTGTTCTCATCCTCTGTTGTCTAAAGATGCAAAGCTGTTCTAAAGTAGCTCTCCGTCCCAAGTGAGTGGCACTTATGCCCTGGCATAAACTGGAGATAGGTGTGTTGGAGTCTGGAGCTTCACTGTCCATCTGCCCAACATCTCTGCCCTGGACCTTTGAAACCTGGTTTGCAAAAGGGCTGCATGTAGCTTCCTTGAGTGACACCCAAGTTGTGGAGTTATCAGTACTGTGGGCAGCTTATCATTTGGCAGAATTTGCAGCAGCTGTTGCAAATTCCTCATCTTTTGCCATGTACCTGCATGGTTTCATTAACCTCTGTTAAGCGGGTTTTGATGATTTGTCAATCCATGCCCCAGGCAGCCAGAAAGGGCCCTGTTTGCTAGCATTGCACAGAGCTGTGGCCTCCCTGCTTGGCAGCCAGGACTAGCTGCCAGGATTAGTCAGCTCCTGCATGTGGCAGAGCCAGTGGCAAGCACAGCACGCCAGCATGGCCAGCACTAGCCTTCAGGTGCATAAAGAGACATGAGCTTGGAGACAGGAGGGAACCAGCACAGGCATAGCATGAGTTGGTGAAACTCATTGACCAGTGGAGGCCAGTCCTGCTGTTGACAGGTGTTACAGGGTGTAACCACTAAGCCTGGCAGGAACAGCACTTGTGGGTTCTTCAGCAACATCCCTGTAGAGCTTGTGCTATTGAAGCATCAGTTTGGCATGGGAGATACTTTGGATCTGGGCAATTGTACACCAAACTGTTTATCTCAGTGCAGTTTTAAGTGGATGGCAACCAAGGATGTACCACTAGAGGATGTGAATGCCCTGCCCAAATAACTGTTCTGACAATACTTATCCAGATGTTGCTTCTACTAGCTTCTGTCTTGGATAGATCTCTAGTACTCTAAGCCCTTCACTGTACTCTCTCTGTCCAAGCCCTTCACTGTACTCTCTCTGTCCTTCTAATGAGGCCAGCTTAACCTGCTTTTCATATACTGAAAGTTTGCAATTTTCTTTTAAGCATGTGCATGAATTAGCTGCTGATTTCCAGATGCTGTGCCTAGAAGAGAGACTGTGAGGCAGGGTGTATATGTATGTGTGGGTGTGGGTGTGTGAGATTTGGTGACCATGGGACTGCTGATAGTGCCAAAAGGTCTGAATCCAGTTTTTGTGCCTCTGTCTCCAGTACTAGGGTGCAGGTGCATATATGCCTGTGATGTGCTTGCAGCTGGGAGTGGAAAAACTCTTTTTCCCCTGGATCTCCTCTTGGTACTCAGCATACTGGTGATGCTACTCCAGTGCAAATAATGCTTAACTTGTTCTCCATGAATTCCCAGTGAGACATTAAACTGGGGTCTCTAAATTACCCATGGCCTTGCATGAGAGATGGGAAGGTTCAGTGGCAGCACCAGTCCCTGAGCCTACTGGGGCCAAACAGGGACATAGTCATTAGGAAACAAATGCAAAGCAGATTAAGAAGGAAATGGGTTCCCCAGGGACTTTTAGCCAGGTTCCTGCTTAGCTCCAAGGAATTATCTTCAATTTTACTATATATTTCTGTCCCTTATGAACCACTTTTGATGCTAATACTCTAAGCCCCTCCGTTCCTCAGTTCCCAGCACTTTTTTATGGCCAGCAGATGGGAAGTGTTTTACTACTTTCCTTTAGGTGGCAAGCAGTAGATGGGAATTCACTGTGTGTCCTGAGGTTAGTTTGCCTCTCCCTGGATCTCCTGTCAACTAGGAGATATGAAACCCACTTGCCAGATGGCACACATCACTGTCCCTCAGCAACAGCTATTTTTCATTCCTGCCCCTGCCTGAGGCAGAGATGAACCTGCTTATGTGCTCGGGCTTTATGTCCTTCCCAGTGGTTGCTTCATTTCACCATGGATGGCTCAACCGCATTGAAAACTCAATCTTTCTCCTAAATTAGGGGTCCTTTCCTGGTGTGTGGGTCTTTTTCCTGCATATGATGGTACTGCCAGTGTACTGATGTCAAGGGCAGTGGTAGCCATGGCTCCAAGACATCGTATATCTGAAGGTCTAGTGTCAGGAGCATTAGGGGAGGTATGACCTTTCTTCAGTTCATGTCTGTTTCATTAAATGATTCTGGACGTCTTTGCACATGTAAGCTTGGGCATTTATTTTCTATTCCTACTGGCACTGGACCAGAGGAGGAAGGAGGGCAGCCTGCTCAGTGCCATTTCCTTACCTGTTGTTTTCTCAACAAAACATTTTATTCTGTAGAAGGCTGCATTTCTCTGACATTCTTCTGCCTCAGTGAATGTTGGCCCTTTGCAATGTATGTCTCCTCAGTACCAAGTCAGCTTACCATGTGACATTTCCAGAGAGGTGTTCCTCTCAGTGTAGGATCTGGATGTCTTGGCTGACACTCCTTCATTGCTGGCATCAATTTCTGTTTTTCCTGCTGTCAATCAGGAGGTGTGTCACAGCATGCAGTTTGTTTAAGGGCTAGTATCAATGGAATTCTGGGTTGTCAGTGTAGCAGTTGCAATGGGTCAATTGTCTTGCAGATTTTGGCACAAGTGGTCACAGTTGAAAATCTTGAGCAGAACATCTTTTTGTTTTCCTCTGTCGGACAAAAGGTTACTGCTTCGAGGGTTGTATGTTTTTTTTGTAATGAAGAGGAGACAGCAAGAAAAAAAAGGATCTGTGAGCAAGGTATCTCAGAAGACAGTGGAAATCCATTCTTGAATTAACTTCATTGGCTACAAAATTGCTTTGTCAGGGACAAGCCATTTGGAGAGATTAATTAAAAGTCCTCATTTTTAGAGCAGAATGAGGATGTTCTCCTCATTCAAACTTACGGTTATTGGGCTGTCAGTGCCTGGGAAATATTTGGAAAGTGTAACCTTGTGCCATCATTATGCAGAATACAATTTCTTGCTCCTTGGACGTTCTTCCTGGCTTCGCTATGTTTACTTCTCACAGTGGAGTAGGTATTTTCAAATTGAGTTTTGTCTCACAGTGAAGTGGCACAGTTGAAGGATCTTGGAAAGAAGAGAAATGAATGTATGTGTGTGTGTGTTTTCAAAAATAATCTACAGTTTCTGGGTAGTTCAGACCAATGAAAAAGCCTGTGTCTTTGAACTTCCCTTGTGATTCAGTGACACTTGTGTGCCTTAAATATTAAGTGATGTCCTAAAATAGTTTCTTCCTGATGGAAGTGGACTGCATCTGCAGAGACAAGTCTTCAGGAACTCTCCATGGTATTCCTTCAAAAAAGCAACTGTGAATGGGGATTTTGGGCTGTTCTCCACCACAGCCAGTGTACACAGTGGTGGGTCTACTTGTACTTCAGCCTCTGGTGAACTGAGAAAAATGAACTTTCCTATGAGACACAAAATAGCCATTAGATGGCAGTGACTTTCTGTCACCAAACTTAATGGGAACCAGTAATAGAGAGGTGAAGAGCTTCAGAGCCATCCGCAGTCCCTGAGCTGCTCATGTTTGGTTGCCCTATTATGTGCTCCCTGGGATATCTCTTCATCTAAAAGGCATGGTCAACACTAATGCAATCTAAAAAAGCTACTCTCAGGGCCAGCTGGTGGCTTGATGACTCTACATTTGAGCGCTGCTGTCTAGCAAACTTCCTGCCAACACATAAAGAGTGAAAGCTTTGCACTGAAAACATAACAAGCTGTAAAATAAATCTTATAATTATAAGACACTTCCTTTTCCTCCTTGTGCTTTCTGGAGTGGTGTCAGCTGAATGCTCTGGCCATAGCATCTCTAGGTTTTAATTTTGTGGCATTAAAAAGGTCCATTTTTTGTGGGATCTGTGCCTATGAAACTAGATGTTCTTCAGTCATCTGCAGTGATTTATTTAGAAAAATGGCCCATCTACTGTGACATTTTTGAAGAAGGAAGAAGGAGAAAAGTGAAGGTAAGGAGGCAGTGCCTCATCTATTGGATGCTTTTTCCTGGCGGTGCAGGCTTGTCCGTGAAGCGCTTTGCTCCAGGAGCCTAAGTGTGAAT